CCCCCTCATCCCTGTCTCTGCCCCCTCAATTCCTGTCTCTGCCCCTTCATCCCTGTCTCTGCTCCCTTCATCCCTGTCTCTGCTCCCTTCATCCCTGTCTCTGCTCCCTCAATTCCTGTCTCTGCCCCCTCATTCCTCTCTGCCCCCTCAATTCCTGTCTCTGCCCCTTCATCCCTGTCTCTGCCCCCCTCAATTCCTGTCTGTCCTCAAGAATCATGTAGGACCTTCCCCCCCTCCTCCTCCTTTAATGGTTTGGTGATTTCTCTGCCAGATGTCTAGTGTGTGTAAATACCTCTGTAAATCTTTCCACTTTCTCTCAGTATTCTCCTTGATTATTGTTTACAAAAATAAGAGGGAAAAAAAAAAAAAAAGGAAAAAAAAAAAAGGAAAATATCCAAAGCATCTAATAGGTTATGGAGCAGGGAGATGGATCTGCTCTCCCACACAGAGCTGCCAGGTGGGAGCTCTGTAACCATCCTGGGCTGAAGCAAATAGGGAATGACTCAGGTTTCCCCCAGGGTGCTGGGATCTAAGAAAACAGGGATTTTTATCTGTGGTGGGAAGCCACACTGGACGAGGTGGGATAGAAATTGTGGTTCTTCCCTTATGTTGACAATAATTAACTAAATTGCTGCATCATGGCCCACCCTGCCCACGGGCACTATGCATGAGGGGACAGTCAGGGAGGATGGGGCACGCTCAGGGTCCTGCTGTGACACGGGAGTGTTTGAATGTATGAGAAATAAAACAAAGATGCCCCTCACGAGGGGGTGTCTGCCCTGGGGCAAAAGAGCCCTGAGTCCCAAAAATGTCCACGAGGAGACGGAAGAATGTAATCCATGTTTACTGCTAGCAACCAAAGTGTTCGTGTCAAACCCGTGAAGTTTTATGGAGTGGGTGGGAGGGAGGGGATAACTGGGGTCTCTGTGTGTGTGTGTGGGCTCAGGGTGACCCCTGAACCAGTTACTCACACTTCCCAAAGACATTTTCTGCCGGAGTCCCTGCAGCGAGATCCTCGGTTCCTGCTGCTGCTGCAGGTTTTCCCCCCTCTGTTCATTTTATTTTTGTTTTTGTACCAACTGTGTAAAATGTTTTTTTTTTTCTTTTCTGGAAAAAAAAAATAATAATAAAGACCATGGGCAATGGCTGCTGCTGGTGCTCTGTGTGTGGTTACTTTTGTTTTTCTCCCCTGGGGCTGAGGAGCCCAAACCCCAAATGGGGGGGTACCACGGGAGGGGGGTTGTGCTGGGAATCTGCAGCCCCCAAAAGTGCCCCAGCCCTGTCACAGAAACCTGGTTTGGGTGGAAGAGACATTAAAGCCCATCCAATAATCCCCCTGCCATGAGCAGGGACACCTTCCCTTACCCCAGGCTGCTCCAAGCCCTTCCAACCTGGCCTTGTACATTGCCGGAGATGGGGCAACCAGAGCTTCTCTGGGCGACCTGTGCCAAGGCCTCTCCACCCTCAAAGGGGGAATTTCTTACCAATTTCCCGCTGCCCTCGCGCCCTTTGGAGCCATTCCTGTGTCCTGTCCCTCCCCCTCTCCCCGTCCCCTCAGGGCGCCCCCCCCAGCCCCCCGAGCCCCCTGCGCATGCGCGGCCCCGCCCGCCCCGTCGCGCGCCCCCGTGGGCGCCGTCGTGTGACGTAAGCGGAAGGGCGCGTCACCCTCCGGCGGAGGCTGAGGCAGCGCCGCCGGGGCAGGTACCGGGACCGGGAGCGGGACCGGGAGGGACCGCGGGGAGAGCCGGGGCTTATCGGGCACGGCGCGGGCGATGCGGGCGGGGTGTGTTTCCTTCCGCCGTGTCTCTCCCGCCGGCGGCCGCGTCCCTCCCCTCACGGAGCCGGCGGAGGCCTAAGGGACGCCCCGTCCCCACCGTGCGCTTCCCGCCTGGGAGGGCCCGGGGCGGCTCCGGGAGCGGAGTCACCCTCAGGGGCTGGGTGTGCGGGCCGCTCTCCGCTGGCTCCCTCGCTGCCGGGGACGGGATCCCGGGGGCTGGAGCCTCCCGGCTGTGCCCGGCCGGCCCGGGGAGCGAGGCACGGCCCTCCCCGCCGTGCCCCGGGCCCGCAGCGCTCTGCAGAGCTCGCTCTGTAGCATGACTGTGTAAAACCGCCCGGGAAGGGCTGATTGTCATTAGCAACGATGGCGTTGGGTGTGCTCAGCCCGAGGTTCAGCAGTTCATGTTTTGTGGCTGCAGCGGGGGTAGGGATCCCTTCCTCAGGGAGGAGGCAGAGAAAGCCC